TAATTTGAATTCATGTTTCATGATTCACGTGTTGTCATGAACGAGATATTTTAAATCCATCAATCTCTTCATTGCTATTATCTTGGGTTATATTTCACCTAAAGCCTCCTCTAAGGTTTGTTGCTATTATGGTGCTTATAAATGATCCAAGTTCTTCATATATCCTTTCCGGTGCGATATAGTTTCTCGCCTCCTAGTTCATATCAATCCAATCTTTTGTTTTCGTTAGTGGCAGAATTTTCACCTCATAAAGTTTGAGATGGTCTCCATAAGCCCACTACAACCTTGTTCTTTTCGTTGTTGGTTTTCCAACAACTCCGTTCTAGCATTTGTTGTAAGTGTGCTCCCTCGAGATCTTGTTTCCCTTTGTTCATCCCACTCCATTCTTACTTTTGTTCCGGAGGCATTGTGATGTTGCTCTCTTCTACCCATCTTCTTGTTTTGTCATGATAGTATTCTTTTCTTTGCTTATCCATTCAACCAGAGTGTCGTATTTTCTTTCGAGCTCTCTCATCTTATCAGTTTTTGCATCCCTTCTCAACCGGAGTGTTGTCCAAATTATATCAGTCTTATTCCTTCTCTATCTTGTCTTAACCAGAGTGGTTTCAATATATATCTTGCCCTTCAACCTCAAGGTTTTTCCGCAATGTTCTTTGTTCCTCTTTTCTAAAGGAGTGTTTTTGACCTTGTTCACCTCGTTGTTTTCTGTCTCGAATTTGCTCAACCTCGCAAGGTTCTTTGATTTCACTCGTTTGTCAAAGAAGCAAGTTGTTTTACCTCCTCTCTTATCTCTTCCGTTGTCCCTCCGGTGCCATTCTAGATCTCGGGACGAGATCCTCTCGTAGTGGTGGAGTGTTGTAACGCCTCGAGACCGATGTGCCAGGTGTCGATCAGTTATTCGCTGTTGTTGCCTTGTCATTGCTTGTGTGTCATGCATTGCATATCATGTCAAGATGCGCATTTCTTTTGCATACGTGTTTGTCTCATGCATCCGAGCATTTTCTCCGTTGTCCGTTTCGCATTCCGGCGCTTCGTTATCCTCCGGTGGTCATTTCTACCTTTCTTTCTTGTGTGGGGGTTAAACATTTCCGGATTGGACCGAGTCTTGCCAAGCGGCCTTGGTTTACCACTTGTAGACCGCATGTCAAGTTTCGTACCATTTGGACTTCGTTTGATACTCCAACGGTTAACCGAGGGACCGAGAAGGCCTCGTGTGTGTTGCAGCCCAACACTCCTCCAATTTGGCCCAAAACCCACCTAACTCTGCTACATCATCTAGAGCGTTCGATCATGATCGCGTGGCCGAAAACCGCACCTCATTTGGACTCTCCTAGCTCCCTCTACCTATAAAAGAGCACCCTCCCCGAAATTTCGGATCATTTCGCGGATGAACCCTAGATCCACTCCTCCCCGCGCATCCGGACGCGTCCGCGCCGCGCCAGACATGTCCGCTCACCGCCGCCACCCCACTCCATCCAATCAGGGAGCGCCACGTCAGCTCCACTGTCGCCCGAGCCAATCTCAGCGCGCCATGTCAGCGCCCGCGCCGCCCCACTTCGCTGCGGCCCGCGAGGCCCGCCGCAGGCCCTCCCGGGCCCGAGACTCCCCGCTGCCACTCAGATCCATCGCCGCCCAGTGCCACCGCCCGCCTACTCTCGCCGCCTTCGCTCGCCGTAGCGCGCCCCGTCGCCCGAACGCCTCCCCGCCGCCGTCCCGGAGTACTCCGGCCTCGATCCGAGCCCGAGGAGGAGCGCCACCGCCGCCTGCTTCCAGATCCGGCGTCGCCCGCCGCGGCTCCGGCCATCCCTGTCGCCGGAGTCTCCCAACGCCACCGCCGCCTTGCCTCGATCCCGATCGGATCGGGAGAGACGACCGGGTCGCTCCGCGCCCGCGTGGACCTTCCGCGTGGGCCACCTCCTCCCCGCCTTCGGCCCAGCTCCAGCCGGCCTCGTTCGGCCTGCCTCATCCTCCTTCGTGGGCCGGCACGGCTTCACCGGCAAGCGCAGCGCCCGAGTCCGGCCCAGCGCGCCGCCCCGCCTCGGCCTGTCACTTCCTCCTCTCCGGGCCAAGCCCATGGGTGAGCCGCACACCCAGCGCCCCGCCTCTGTTTTTTTCCTGTTGTTGGGCTTGCCTCAGATTCGGCCCGCATCATTTTTTTTCCAGATCTGGACGATTTGTCTATATTTCCTGAGACTGCTGTTTTGTAGATTAGTCCCCCTGGTTCATGCATTTAATAACTCACTAACCGTGCATCGGATTAAAATGATTTGTATATGTAACTTACTCAGAATTTTGTGTAGATTAATAATATCCAATTTTCATCTATGTTTGAAATGTTAAAAATGATGTTTGTTTAAATTTGCTCCTATGCCATGTTAAAATGATTTAATTCATAACTAAATAACCGTAGCTCCGATTTTAATAATCTTTATATGTAAATGAGTAGAAAAATGTCTAGTTTAACATATTGCACTCATCTTGCATGTTTAACAACTCTAAAATAATGTTTAGGGCAGAACAGTACCAAACCTTAAATTATGCATATGAGGATTTTCCGGAATTGTTGTTCGTTGCTTCCGGCCTCATTTAAACTTGCCTAGATAGGTAGTTTTGTTGTGCTTCACCTCTTGCCATGTTAATCAACATTTAATATTGTTGGGGTACATAAACGAGAGAGAACTAAATAATCGATGTGGTGTTTTGTCAATATGCATCCCGATGCATATTGAGCTCCACTTAATTTGTAGTTTTGTTTGTGCACTTTGCCATGCCATGCATATTTAAACCGGACATGCATCATACTTGGCTGTGCATCATGCCATGCCTTTGTGGTAGTTGTTTACTATGTTGTGTGCTTCTTTTCCGGTGATTGCTTTTTCGGGTGGTTCCGGTAACGTCGTGTTGTGAGGATTCGTTCGACTACGTCCGTTTGTCTTCTTCATGAACTCGTTCTTCTTCCTTGCGGGATTTCAGGCAAGATGGTCATACCCTCGAAATCACTACTATCTTTGCTATGCTAGTTTGCTCGCTCTTTGCTATGCCAATGTTACGATGCCTACCAATTGCTTGTCAGCCTCCCAATTGCCATGTCAAACCTCTAACCCACCATGTCCTAGCAAACCGTTGATTGGCTCTGTTACCGCTTTGCTCAGCCCCTCTTATAGCGTTGCTAGTTGCAGGTGAAGATTGGAGGCCGTTCCTTGTCGGGACATTTATTTACTTGTTGGGATATCACAATATATCTTATTTAATAAATGCATCTATATACTTGGTAAAGGGTGGAAGGCTCGGCCCTATGCCTGTTGTTTTGTTCCACTCTTGCCGCCCTAGTTTCCGTCATATCGGTGTTATGTTTCCGGATTTTGCGTTCCTTACGCGGTTGGGCTATTATGGGAACCCTTTGACAGTTCGCCTTAAGTAAAGCTCTTCCAGCAATGCCCAACATTGGTTTTACCATTTTCCACCTAGCCTTTTCTTTTCCCTTGGGAGTCGCGCTTCTGAGGGTCATCATTATTTTACCCTCCCCCCCCCGGGCCAGTGCTCGTCTGAGTGTTGGTCCACCTGTCAGCTGCCGGTGGCCACCAGGGGCAACTCTGGGCTGGCTTACCCGTACCTAAGACAATCTGAGTGTACCCTGAGAAAGAGATATGTGCAGCTCCTATCAGGATTTGTCGGCACATTCGGGCGGTGTTGTTGGTTTAGTTTTACCCTGTCGAAATGTCTTGTTGTACCGGGATACCGAGTCTGATCGGAATGTCTCGGGAGGAGGTCTATTTCTTTGTTGACCGTGAGAGCTTGTCATGGGCTAAGTTGGGACACCCCTGCAGGGATTTGAACTTTCGAAAGCCGTGCCCGCAGTTATGGGCAGATGGGAATTTGTTAACGTCCGGTTGTAGAAAACCTGAAGCTTGACCTTAATTAAAATGAATCAACCGCGTGTGTAACCGTGATGGTCTCTTTCCGGCGGAGTCCGGGAAGTGAACACGATTGTTGGAGTTATGCTTGGCGTAGATTGTTTTAGGATCACTTCTTGATCATAGTTTCTCGACCGTGCTTTGCCTTCTCTTCTCGCTCTCTTTTGCGTATGTTAGCCACCAGATATGCTAGTCGCTTGCTGCAGCTTCACCTCATACCTTTTACCTTACCCATAAGCTTAAATAGTCTTGATCGCGAGGGTGCGAGATTGCTGAGTCCCTGTGGCTCACAGATACTTCCAAAACCAGCTTGCAGGTGCCGATGAGACCGTGCAGATGACGCAACCAAGCTCAGGAGGAGCTCGATGAAGATCTTGTCCTTTATGTTGTTTCGTTCTAGACGATCAGCGGTGGAGCACAGTTGGTGTCGATCGGGGATCTTTGTCGCATTTGGGGTTCTTTTATTTTGGCTCCGTAGTCGGGTCATGATTGTATTTGGATGATGTAATGCTTTATTCATGTAATTGTGTGAAGTGGCGATTGTAAGCCAACTATGTATCTCTTTCCCTGATGTATTACATGGGTTGTGTGAAGATTACCTCACTTGCGACATATGCCTTCAATGCGATTATGTCTCTAAGTCGTGCCTCGACACGTGGGAGCTATAGTCGCATCGAGGGTGTTACACCCTTGCACCCCCACCTCTAAGATAAATAACGGGATCGTGGCGATCTCCTGCACCACTCATGACTTTATCCTAAAATAGATGGTGGAGCTGGTTCTTCTCCAACAAGGTCTAGCCAAGAGGAAAGGAAGAGGAAAAAATTGACTGAGCCGAAACACCTATGAAATAGCAAATCCGTAACTCTTAAGACGCTCCTTCCGTCATTGATACATATTACAGGGTTTATTATTTGCCAAACAAATTAACACGCGAAAGCACGCGCTACCACACACCACTTGCACACCAGTACTGGAGCATATGCGGCCATACGGGCATGCGGCGTCAAAAAATACGAAGGCACCAAAAATATAAGAGCAATTACAGGTAACACGGGAAATCGCGCTGACGGGCATGGCGCCCAGCTAGTCGTGCTGCACGTAGACGTCGATCTCAACGACGCCCCCGGTGGCGAGGCTGTAGTCGTAGTTCTTGGTGAGCATGTAGCCCCGCGCGTACCGGAACCGGCCGGTTCCGCCGATGAGGACCGACTCCCGCACCGTCGCGTCCATGTCGATGCGGCCCCTCGCCGTCAGCGAGCTGCCGTGGTGCTCGCAGGCCTCGAGGACCAGGTGCAGCGTCAGGTCCGACACGATGCCGCCCTCCGACACGCGGACGGCCCAGCCCTGCGCCGTGCCCACCCGCGCGCTGCCGCCGCTGGGCCCCACCGTCAGCGCGTTGTTGAGCACCACGATGTCGCCGAAGTGCCGCGGCGCGGTCTTCAGCGCCGTGGCGTTGTCGCCGGTGGATACGGCCCGGCCGGACACGACGCGCATCGCGGTGGGGCGTGGGCCTGTGTAGTCGTCGTGCATGTAAAAGTGGAGGTGCGTGGTAGTTGTGCCGCTAGTCTTGTTGCCGCTTCCGGCGTCGTAGCGGTAGAAGAAGGCTGAGCCAGCAAGGAGGAAAGCCGACGCAAGGAAGAGAGAAGAGAGGGAAGCCATAGCCTACAAGCTTGGTTCAAGTATGACCGCAAACCATACTTGGGGGCTAGTACTCGGTGTCTCGGTTAGTACAGTGTGTGTGTGGCCATAGCTAGCGCGCGAGTGGGTATATATAGCCTGAGAGTATCTCTACAGATTCCGCAACCCGCCGTCTCGTAGAAATTATTTACGTATACAGTAAACGTTTTTTCCACGACCCCGGACGCACAGCCAGAATAATCCTGCACATCAATTCTGGAAATTTAAACACATTAGTTCACGTTAAAACATCTTGCCGGAGTTCAGCATAAGCATAACATAGTACACGGGAGTTGATCACACACATTTGACACATACCATAGGAGAGTTTTTAATACAAACCGAAATTAAGCACTACCGAAATTAAACAACATAGATTTGGTCCATGCACTTGGCATTGGTTCTTCGTGGAATCACCAAATTCCTCTCTCTTGTCTTAACTACCTTGTCACATTTTCTTTTACATATATGGCATGCTTAGCACATGTACACCATGAAGCACTGGGAAGAGCCTTAGGGCATCTCTAGCGTCGACACACAAACCTCCCACAACCGTCCGGACTGCCTGGTCCGGACCACGGAAACTATCCAACGCGGTTCTATATCGGTCCGCAGCGCAATCCAAACGCGATTTTTGCCGCAAACCGAAGACAAAAGTGAGGGAGGTTTGCGGGAGTCCGGACCGATCCCAAGCCCGCTTCTAACCGTCCTGGCCCACCAAAACCCCCTCCCCTTCCCGTGCTTCAGCGCCGCTTCAGAGCGTCAGCGCCCGCATTCATGCCCGGCCAGAGCGAAGCGACTGCTCACTGACACCGGCATTGAAGCGGTGCGCCGGCCAGAGAGTGCCACCCACGCCGCTTCCCGATGCAGGCGACTACCGCACGTTCAAATGACATGACGGTCGCCCGTCCGTCCGTCTGCTGCCCGCATTGATAGCACGCGGTTGCTGAGGCGTCTCCTCCGGCGTCACCCGTCCGTCCCTCTACCACCCACCTATGCTATATAAATCACTCCCCGGTGCCCCAGTCATCCCTCTCCGCACCACTCCCCACCATGGATCCCTCCGCAGACAAAGCTCGCTGGGACGGGCTGACATTGGAGCAGCCGGAGGACGCCTCCGACGACGACGTGCAAATGAAGGACGCCTCCGACGACGAGCCAGCGCCACCCTCACCCGTGCATTGCACCATGACCATCAGCGAGGCCCATGCCCATTATATGGACATGGTGCGGCAGGAGCGGGAGGACCAGTTCTAGGAGGCGTAGGCCACCATGTGACGCCCGGATAGTTAAGCTACAGTAATTCCCTACTAATGATGCCACGTCACCTCTGTCACTAGAGTTAATCTCGGGTTAGTTCAGAAAACCGATTCAAATTCAAAATTTAAATAAAGGCAAACAACAAAACTTTTCAAACTTTAAAAGTAAAAGGTTCGGTTTGTGACAAATAACTCGCAAGTAATTGTGGTGAAGAAACCCCATTTTATAAAATGTTTAAATACTCTAAGGTGAATAAAACCGTAGCAAAAACAAATATTTAAAGGCTTTTATAACTAATAAAATGCTAAACTAAATGGTTTGGGGGTAAAACCTTTTGGTGGCAGAGGGTTTTGTGTTATTACTAATTTAGGGGTCATGGTAGACATTAAGTAAAAACCAAAAAAAAGTAAAATAAAAACAAACCAAAGAATAAATAAAAGGAAAAGAACAAAACAAAATCAAAAAAAATTCCCCCACTGGGCTAACTGGCCCAGCCGGACAGCCCACTGGCCAGCTCGGCCCATCCCCACTCCCCTTAACCCCCCATCGATCGAAACACTAACCGTAACCCCCACTCCCCTACTCGCTCACTCCCTCTCCCCCCCACCACTCTCGATCCCATCTGGATCGGGGTGGGGGACAGACCACGCGGTCGCCACCGATTCCTGTCGTCGGAGCAACCCT